ACACACACACACACACACACACACACACACACACACACACACACACACCACAGCCCTCCCTGCTTTGAAACCACTCTTCATTCCTACTTCCCAGGATCCCTCTGTCCATTATCTGAGGCCCCATCACTGTGAGCAGACAAGCAAGCATGCTTCTGGGTGTGGGATGAGGGCTATGGTGGGATGCTGGGAGATTTAACAGATTCACAGGAATGGCATTAGTGACATGGTCCCCAAAGTCTGACCCTTTTCTGGTCTTTCCTTATTTTTTTTTCAAGATTGGGTTTCTCTGTGTAGTCCTGGCTGTCTTGGAATTCACTCTGTAGACCAGGCTGGCCTCGAACTCACAGAGATCCGTCTACCTCTGCTTTCCGAGTGCTGGGATTAAAAGCATGCACCACCACTGCCTGGCTGGTCTTTCATTTTGAAAACTTCAAGGAGAAAGTTCCCATTGGGTGAGATGTCTTTAACATCTTTGTGACACTTGTCAGTCACCCATCTCCCACTTTATCTTTGAGAGTGGGTCTTGCCATGTTGCCCAGACTTGCTGAAAACTCATGGGCTTAAGTCACCTTCCTGCCTCGGTCTTCTGAATAGCTGGAACTACAAGCATGTTGCATTGTACTCAACTTTAATTTTCCAAACAAAGAAGGGTAGGGAGGGAAGGAGGGAGGGAGGGAGGGAGGGATGGAGACAGTAAGGAAGAGAGGGAGGAAAGGAGAGAGGGAAGAAGAGAGGGCATGCTGGTATGATGACACACCTCTATAATCCCAGCACTTGGAATTCTGAGGCAGGAGGATTGAGAGTTTGAGACCAGCTCAGACTCCAGAGACAGAGTCTCAAAAAAAAAAAAATTAAAACAAGCAAACATGAAAAGAGAAGAGAAATAGAAGCAGAGCCTTTTCTAGCCATTGCTGACTGTCTACAGCTTAAACTGAATCTTCTTTTTTCCACCTTAATTTTGAAGTCATCTCCTGCTTACAGCTTTCCTATTGACGTCAGTGGTTTTGAGTTTAAAGAGAATGTTTGTGAACTGAAGAGAAGGGCCAGGAAGGAAGAAGGTCTGGGTGGCATGTGCTGTGGCTGAGACACAGATGGAGAATGCTGACCTCCTCCTGTGCTTCTGTGGCTTCTGTGACTCCAAATCCACGTCAAGCACACGTTTTTCTGCCTGGCTGTTCCTTGCGCATGCAGGCCACTCCCTTCCCCGGACACCAGCCATCTCTCCGTTCCTTCCATCTCACTGTCCCCCCTTTCCCCCAGTTCTTAGTAGTGAGATCCGCGTTGCTTTACCACAACATGTAAACAAGATGAGCTCTGGGAGGGAGGGAGGTGCCTCGTGGTGTGTGTTCACTGACCTTTGTCACTCTCCAGGGTTCTCCCCACTGTACCCACTGCACAGGGACTGAGTCATCGATGGCTCCCCAGTGTCCTCATGGTGGCCTCTGGAGTCAGACAATGGGCACCTGATCACCGTCACACCAGTGAAGGGCCTTTGGCAAGTCCCTTTCTTCTCCTGAGCCTGTTTCCTCACTTATATGACAGGAGAATAGCTGCCCCAGAGAGTGCTGGGATTTCATTATGTCCAGAAGGCTAGACAGAGAGGAAGCAATCCAGGAACACTGCGCTTGACATCATGACCTCACTCTACCATCAAACAGCTGCATGGGATTCTGGGACCTTGGTCCCTTAGACCTACCTCAGTGTGGACTTTACATAGGATTCACAGGTTGGAGAAGTGTCAGTCCAAGGTGATCTGGGCTCTACAACTGAGGAAGGTGGCCATCCCATCAATTTGGGGTGACAGGTCACTCCTGCTACCTGAGACTTTCTTTGGCTCCTCAGTGCTCTTTGTGTTTCTGGTCCTACTGTGAGCACAGGGGCCGTGCTGGGGATGATGGAGGTAAGCAGCTTCGGGTTCGTGTCCTGGAAAAGAACCTTTAGAGAAGGGCTGACAGGAAGAGCCCTCCCAGAAGCCCCAGTTCTCAGTCAGCCCTTCACTTTTCTCAACTTTGGTCTCCCCGTCTCTAGAACGAGGGCACTACTGTTTGTCACCTTACTGATACTGTTTAGCGGCTGAAATGGGAACCAGATTCGAGGCTCTGGCTGCCTACACTGAGCTTGGAGGGCAAAGGGCAGGTGAGGTGGAGGAACCAAGGTCGGGGAATTTATGGCAGTCTGAGGTTTATGGTTTTGATATGGATTTATTAAGCACAATTTAGGGCTGAAATGTTCTCCTGTGGCCCCCACCCCCACAGCCATGTTGGCAGGAGTGGAGACAGGGCTTATTGCAACATCATCAAAACATTTCCTGGTGTTCAGGGCTAAGGGGAGGGACAGGAAGGTGGAAGTGGCCCCAGGGCCCAGGAAGGGCAGCTAATAGGTGCTCCTGAAGACAGAAAATGGTTAGTCTCTCCCCAGAAACTTGTGTGAGGGCAGCATCCCTCAGGGCAATGTTCCCGATTTACAGCCCGGGCTTGCAGAGGTGGAATGATCTGCCTTTCCTGACACTGACCACAAAGGGCTCCAAGTGTCACTGTAGCTGGAGGTCAGAATGTGCCCCAGCCCTGGATGCCCTGGGGTGCTGGATAAATGGGCTTTCCATGAGAAAAGCCCTGGCGTCCCATTGGTCAGTGGTGATGGTAAGATGCCCCACTGTGGCCAGTTTTAAGTCACTAACACAATATTGGAAAAACAGCTGGGAAGAGAAGCGAACACCCAGCTTCTACACACTGGCTCCAGCACACCCAGTGAATATGAGGGTGTGATCTGCAGGGGCTGGGCATCAAGCCCTAAGGGAAAGGATAAAAATGACAAGAGCCCTGGCTGGAGACTGGCACACACACCACTTGATTGTTCTTGCTTGTATGACTTCCTGGTGTCCGTGTGTCTGAAAGGTTGAGGTGGCCCCTAAAAGAGCTCCATCTCGGAACCTCTGGCTTTTCTTCTAACTCTCTCTACCACCCTCTCTTTCATTCACTCTTCCCATACACCTGATAGCCTGAGTCAAGAAGCCAGGGTTGGGGCTGGGGAAATAGATCAGTTAGTTAAGTGCTTATCTTATAAGCATGAGTGTAGTAGGACAGGCCCATAGGGTCAAGGAAGTTGGCTCAGACCAGGAGCCAAGGCACGCACATAC